CGGGGCGGAGCCCCTCTGCATCCCCCCCTCCCCCGCCGAAGCCGGGCCCCGCTCCGCATCCCTCCCGGGGCCCGAAGGAGCCCCAGAGCACCCCCCGCACCCCCCCGGGGTTTGCAGCACCTTGCCGAAAGCGGGGCAGCCCCCCCGGCCGCGCCCCCGCTGCGTGGGCCGCGCCCCGCGGCACGAACGGCACCGAGCTGCGGCCGCAGCAGCAAAGCCGGTGCAACAGAGAGCGCAGCCAAGCGAGGAAGCCCAGCGATCCCCTTTTTCTGCTGCTGACCGTCTCTGCGGTCTCCGTACCCGTAAATAGGCGCAACCGTTCCAGACAAATGCAATTAAAGTTGCCCCTTCTCTGGATGAGAAGCACAAGATGGCTCGGGGGGGTGCATGTTTTAAAGTCGGAGTGGTTGATGCTTACGCAAAAGGTCTCCTCTAGAGGATGGATTTATAAATATTTCACCTACTTCAGCAGGGAAAGACTAGCAATTTTTAGAACCCTCTTTCCAGGCAAACCAGAATCGATGGAGCTCAGCCATGGCAGAGGGCTGGCTCCAGGCCTGCACACCAGCTCCCTTCCCGTGCCAGCGGACCCCGCACGCATACTCACGCCGCCTGTGACCCGTGCCTCAGGAATGCTGTTCTGGGGCTGCAGGTGCTCGTTTCCACCTGGACATAGCTTAATGTTTAGCTAACCCAAATTGCATCCGAGTCCTTGTTCTTCCCTCTCTGTAGCATCTGCTGGAGTCTTCCCAGAGCGAGGAGAAGAGGATCATGCCCTCTTCCACCACCGAAGTGAACAAAGCACAGAACAGGTGGGCAATAAACCCCTGATTGCCCCAAAGGGAGAACTCCTGTGGCCGGCTGCACCTCCACCTGAAGCCATTAAGCAATCAAAGAAACAGCTCAGCTGCCTGGAGGGACGGAGCAATGTTGTTATCCTGTTTTACTGGTGGGGAAACTGAGGGCCAGAAAGGAATGAAGCGGTTTGCTTACGGACACGGAATGAGTCAACAGCATGGCCGGAAATCGGGTTTTATCATGACATGATAAACCGTCTTCCTTAATAGCGTGGACGGCAGGACGGGGAGGAGGGGGAGGCTGATGCACAGGCCTGTGAGCCACAGCCTCGGCCTCTCCCTGCCAGGCAATAGCTGGCTGTGAAAGGCCACTGCAGCCTGCCTCCGCTTTTCTCTCCCCATCCGCAAGCAGGGACAAAACAGCACAAGGGAGGAAGGACTGTGACAATAAAGGCCTTTCCATCAGAATGCTGCTGGGAGGGTTAACTCCTGCCCCTCTTCATCCCCCCCATCTCCTTGTGCATGGGGCTGGAGTCACTTGATGAGACAGCAGATCCTTTTCTTTCACATACTGGGTGCCGTGCCCCAAGAAAAGGGCTGATGGGGCTTCACCCATGGTTCCTCTGGACCACGTTCTTGATCTCAATATTGATCTTGGTTCTCCCTTTACCGGACAGAGAGTCAGGAGCCCTGCACTCTGCTCCTGGCTTCCATTACTGCATCACCATCACTTGATAGCATCAGCTCTCTGGGCCTTGACTTCCACAACTATAAAATGGCTGAGCAATACTTTCCCCACCTTTGCAGGTTCACTGCATCTACTCCCAGAAGAAAAGGCCCCATCCACCTACCAGAGGTTACAAATGTTAGCACAGCCCCTACCCCAGCTGCAACAGCTGACCCCGCTTTGCTAAGCAATGGCCTAAGTGCCAGTACACTTGCTTCCAGGAATATCAGGCCATTTCATCAGGGATAACACAAGTCACGCAAGATATGCTTGCAAATAAGAAACGAAGCGTAGGTGGGTTAGTCAGCATAAGAACGCACAGATCCTTTCTGGCTCCACATACTGAAACCCAGATCCTCAGAGGTAGCTCATAAAAATGCAAGCCACAGGACTGTGAGTATATGCGATACCAGAATTAGCTTCACGAAGAGGCACTTTAGGCTGTTTTCCAAACTGAAATCAATGTTGTACTTGCAATGAATTAAACACCCACATTTTTGCGCTTGCTGCAAGGTGCAAAGTGAAATCATGAATGAAGGAAGAGCAGAGCACCCTTAAGACAGCAGCATCAGTTGGTGCGTGCCATTGCTGCTCAAAAAGATCCCGCAAGCGTTTGAGAAACACCTTCCTTTTGCTTCTCCTGCCCTCGCACGTTCTTCCTGGGGCAGCAAGAGGCACAGCAGGGGTTTTTCACATTCTATCAGTTAATCTTTTCAGCCAGTGGAGCAATTACTTCTTTAACTGCTTTGCAGTGACTGCTCTATAGAGCTTCCACCCAGAAGCCAGATTTTTGTTCAGATTTGCTGTTGTGATGCTGGCATCACTTCTCTTAGCCCAGTCTCAATACAGTGGGAAAATTAAACTCTAGTAATAGATTTTCTAAAGGTTTCCTTGGGGTGGAACCAGCTGAGGCCATACTCCCATACGATGGGTTGAATTATTCCAGGCTGCATGTAAGATGCTCAGCAACCCAGCATGAACGGGCCGGGCAGCTGGAACAGCAGCACGCGAGAGAGGTGTTCGCCTCACGTATTTCAGGGCCAAGAGTTTCAAACCACGGCGTGCGATTTGGAAAGCTTAGCTCCACTTCTAGGTCAAACATTAGCCTGAGATCTTGGCCCAGTTCTTACAGATCCTGTAACGCTTATCTAAAAGGAGGAAGCGCTCACCTACACGTTCTCCTATTGTCCAACTTAAATAATTCACACACCCACTCCGGTTTAGCTGGAATCGATGTGCTTCCTCCTTTACTGCACTAAAACTGTGGCAGAGGAGGGCGGGCTGCCATGGAACGACCAGGCTGAGCCTCCTGAAACGCACCCATAATTTAATGACACACCAATAATCTTGTGGAGGGCAGCAGGTATCGCCCCCGCTTTGCAGATACGCTGAGAGACCCGGGGAGCGATGGGTGACCTGGCTTGAGCATCCTTGTGAGGCAGGAGGATGCCCTAAGGGACACGGGGCAGGGAGGTCACGGCTATTTGGGCGGCCGGGAACATCCAGAGGCCAGTCGGGTCCGCGGGCGGAGGATGCGGGCTGGGGCGGCTCGGCAGCATTCCCCTGGATCCAGCGCCGGCAGCTGCCGCCGCAGTGAGACTGGAGGAATGAGAGCGGCAGATGGAGGAACTGGTTTCACAAACAGCTTGTTACTGGGGCTCTGCCCACGCCAGTGCCTGAGCGTGACTCAGGCAGGCTGGGCGCTGGCTGGAGGTGCAGCCCGGGGAGGGGAAGGGCATTGCCCCCTTCCCTAAACCAGCCGCCCATCGTCTGCGGGCTCACACCATGGGTCTGGCCCTAAAGATCCCACAGGTCCCCCCGTACTCCATCTCTGGCTCTTCCCAGGTCCCCCGGACCCGGGTGGCTGTAGCTTCTCTTCAGCCCTGATGGGCCAGAGAGCAGGAATATGTAAAGGGCACTGCCGTGCTGAATAGCTCTGGTCTCAGGGAGATTTTTAGCTGCTAGCGCTGCGGGAAACAGGGCTCCCCTGTCCCTTCCCCAGCTCTGCCCTTCAGCTGCTTTGCAGCCATGGGCTGGGCATGTCAGCTCTCTGCGTTATTTGCCTGATAGGCTTATGGCAATATTTGTTTAGGGCCTTAGGATCCACACAAGGGACCACAGAAACATTTTCCTATTGCGCTCAAGTTCTTAAGGTCTTGTGTTTCAGTCCCCTGCAAAGGTCAGGTAGTGGGCAACTCCTTTTGCACTAAGTCTGTGTCTGGGAGTTTACCACAGCCAGCCAAAAAACGCCCTGCTAGCAGGAGTGAAAAGGAAAGGTGTCCTGGAGCCGCACAGAAAGCAGCTGTGGGGAAAGACTCTGTGGGAAGGCACAAAGACGGCATGGCACGGGACGGCACGGCACGGCACGGCATGGCACGGCACGGCACGGCCGCGGTCCGGCAGCCTGCCTCCCCTGCGCGCCCACCACGGAGCAACTCACCGCTCGGGAGCCTGCCAAGGGACCTGCACGCCTGAGACGTCGGTGCTACCTAGCTGAAATTCAAAAACAAAGCGGATCCTTCTCCTACCAAAAAAAGAGAAAAGAGAAAAATTATATCCTGTACAAAACTATCCTGTATTCAGTGAAGTTTATTGTCCAATCTTGGCTTTGGAGCATTCACAATACAACTGTAATATAAGCCTTAGCAAGAAAATGAGCACATCCACAAAATAGTCCATGTCACATCTGAAATACAAAAATTGAAATACTCTTATAAAACAGACACAAGACTGATAGATGGATACAATCTTTTATTCTTTTTTTTTTTTTTTTTCTTTTTGTACCTTTCCATTTATTCCAGAAAAACTTTCTATAAAAAAATCATTGCTTCTTTTGGAATAGATCTTTAAAATAATTTCTTTTAAAATGCATGTTTCATTTGTACAACACTAGTTAAATATATTATTGGTATTCTGCAAATGAATCACACCAGAGAACATTCACAGTATGTGTATCCTGGCCGCTTGGATCTATTGTTCCTGCTGTAGGACAAGCATGATGCCGAGGATGAAAGAAGGCAATGAAGAAACCAGAAAGGGGGTTTCATAGTGTTTGTGGCCAGGCACGGCTAGCGGGGCGTGCTGCGGGGACATCCAAACGCCTCCCTTACAGGATGGAGCGTACAGAGACAGGAGAGCGGCGCGGTGCGGCGGGAGCGGCACAGCCAGGCAGGCAGCCGCAGCTTTTGGCAGGTGAGATCGTGCCACTTTTAACCTCACGTATTTCAGGATCAAGACCCGATGACCCTTGCAGGACCCGCTCGGCCATCGCTGGCTCTGTGCTCTGAGCAAACCCGGGCTTGCGTGGCTGCGAGACACCAGATTTACACTGGTGAAAGCAGAGTTTGGCCGCCTAAGGCTGGGCAGGCTCCCACCCCCAGGTCCGGTCCCTTCCCCGTGCCCGGGGACACACACACTAAGCCTTTCGCGTTACTCAGCCCAGCGGGTTAGGCTCCTTCTCTAATGTTTTCCCACCTGCCTGTTTCTAGCCTGCTCCTGAGAGCTCTGGGCTCCCATTTTATGCTAGCCTAATTTCTGACCGAAGATAAGTCATGGGAAAAAACCAAACAAAACATTTGAGAAGCTTGGGAAAATGGCCTTCTAATTTTTTTTTTTTTTGTCATGTGTAAGGGAGAGGAAAAAATCCACTTATTTTGTCCTTAGTCTCCAAGAGACAATGTACTTTTGTTATTTAAAATCTTAACATAGATCTGGCAACGGGTTGGGCCAGGAAAGGCGTGTGCATGTCTGTACGGAGAGGGTGAAATTAAATAGCTCTGCCTGTAAGTTTTATTGTTGTCCCATAACATGGACCGACCTTGCTTTACACATTATTTACTTACATTTCTTTAACTACCCATCAGCTGGAGATGAAAGAATACAGCCTTTCCTGAGGGCACAGCCAAAACTCCATTTTCTACCCAAACTGGTAAAAAAAAAAAAAAAAAAAAGGCAAGAAAAATGTCTGGAAGACAAAGCAACAGTTTCCTTTTGTCAAAACTCCCCATCTGCGAGGAGTGCCAGCTACTCCGCAAAGCGGCGGATGGGAGAACCCACAAAACAAAAAAAATGCCGGAGAGCCACAGACATTCCCAGCATTTTCATTAGCGCTACTTTAAAAATCCAACTTAGGAGCCGGCTGGCGCTCCAAAAGCCGGGGAAAGCCTGCCCGGGGGATGAGCTGCCCGAGCCCCGCTGCAGGTTTCTCCCCTTGCAAGCAGGGAGGAGCGGGGCACGGCTCTGCTCGGGGCTTTCATAAACTGGGGGGTCCAAGGGATGTTGGTCCTCCTAAACCCAGCCAGACCCCGTGGTCCTCAGGGGAACTGTAACTCCATCCGGGAGATGGAGAAGGGGGATTTGGCTCCGGGCTCTCATCGCTGCCAACCTGCAGCTCCTTTTCTTCGCAGCCGGGAAGGCTTTGGCGGGCAGCGTGCCGTGGGAGGTCAGACGCTCGGGGCTCTGCCAGCCGACACGTGCAAGTGCAGCAGCGACGGGAGCTTATAAATCAAACCTTGATCAGCGGGGCACCAAATATTTACACACGCTATCGCCCTCCTGAACAGGAATCAAATATCCACTAAATGCGGTGGAACAAAAGGGGTTATCTTAAATTCGGGCTGGCACAGGGCTAATAGTGTCTCCTTTAGGGAGGATTTGTAGGAGGAAAGGCAAAGGCTATGAAAGAATAAAGAGCAGCTAACAGGCCCTTTGTCTTTGCTATCTGATCCTGGGTAAGGCAGTCCTGTCTACACGGTCATTGCTAGGTCTTTTCCCCAATGTTTCTCCCCAGCGGTTTCCGTAGGTGACCTTGACCTTCAG